AATGAAGAATCGTAACACTAAAAACCAATGTCAATGAGAGCTTGCTCTCGCCACCACCAACACGAGTGTCCAGGCCCTATCTCCCTACTTGGCGCTCGGCGCCCAGCCTACTTCCTACACAGCTACAGTCTTGCCTGCTAATTGACAATGCAACTGTTGAYKTCAGCAGCTCACGAAGTACAGAAGATATCGCCCAATGCAGACCATCGCCAATACCAGGTATGTGCCCTCACATCATCATCATCATCGTTCTCTCTCTCTCCCTCTTCTTACACCCACGTCTTCCCTCAGTACACCCGAAGACCACCCCTGCGCCTCACTGYACAACCAAGCCCTCAGCCAGCTATGGAGGCTGGGCTATGGCGCTGCCCTCAGCAGCGCCCTTCTTCCACACACGACCGCACGTGCGCAGCACCTTGCTCCAGCGCTAGCAGCCAGCACGTGAGCAGAAGCTCCAGCAGCGCTGCTGCCAGCCAGCAAGTGCCTGAATGATCATCCAGGCAGCGAGCTCTTTCCTATATGGAAAGAGCCTGCCTGCCTTTGCAGCCTGGCTGGCTTGGGCCTGGGCCCAGAAGCTTCCAGTAGGCCCCAGGATGCTGCGCCTCTGTTGCAGCTACTGGGCCTCATTCGGTTGGGCCTCCCAACTGTCTGTGTATGAACCTGCGAATCTCGTCCAGGGCCTCCATCATTTTGGAAAGGCCTGGAAGGCCCTGGAATGTCTTGCTGCTCGGCCTGTATTTCCCTCAACCAACTGGCGCGTTGAAACTGCCTGGACCCCAAATACGAAATTGACAGCTGAGGGCCGCTCGTGATTTTGTTAGGCCCGCCTTCGCTTAGGGCGGGCACATTCGCAACAGGGCCCCTTAGGCCTGGCGAGTACACAGATCCTCGCACTTGGATCCAAGGTATTTTGATCGTGCACGGATGGATCCAAGGTAGTCTCTGACCTTGGATCCATCCGTCCGTGCATGCACGGAATCGAACTGGCACCGTCAGCCACAAGAGCCACAAGAGCCAATTCTGTTTAACCACTACAACCATGACACGGTGTACAAAAGTGTGGTCTGATGGCACCTTTTTTTTTTTTTTTTTTTGTTGCTGTTGAATTTGGACCATTTCTCAATTTATGTGTGTCATCCTTGCACAGGGGCCATGCTAATCTTCTCGGTATCATTCCAATTTTAACAGACGTCTCGAAGGCYGTGCAATGTCGTGCATGCATGGAATCGAAACCGGCAGCCTCACCCACAAGAGCCAAGTCTCTTAACCACTCGGTACAAAAGTGTGGTCTGATGCCATCTTTTTTTTTGTTGTTGTTGTTTTGTTAATTTGGAGAATTTTGGACCATTTC